CCACTGACCTTGAGATTAACAGCCCAATATTTAACCAACTGCACCACTACAACTCCTTGGTGAAGGAGGGGCATGCAAAGAAACTCTAAGTGTGAGACTGGGGTATGGACAAGAAAGACCTGAAGGCTGTACAGTGGTCAGGAACCCGAGAAGGTAGTCTTTCCGTAGAGGAAGAGTTCCGAGTTTTTTTCCTTGGGTTTGTTTTGTTTAAGAACTGTGCTCCAATTAAAAAAAAAAAAAAATCTGCGGGCAGGTAGGGTGGTGTCCAAGTAGGAATGTGCTAGAGACAGAACTCTATGGGAAGAAGGGATGAGGACAAGGGATGGAAGCATAATGAGAAGCCACTTGCAGACAGGTGGTATCCACCCACCACCTCCTGGGTGAAGGAACACCACAGCCAAACCTAATCTATTGCCACTGAATTGATTCTGACTCCTAGCGACCTGATAAAACAGAGTAGAACTATTCCATAGTGTTTCCGAGGCTGCAAATCTTTAGGGAAGCAGACTGCTACTTCTAGTCTCCCAGGGAGCAGCTGCTGGGTTTGAACCATGGACCTTCAGTCAGCAGCCCAGCACAGACCAGGGGTGGTAGATGTGCAGAAGAGGTGAACAGACGAGCTCCTCTAGAGAATAAGGGCTGAGTACAGCACAAGGGGGCCTGTCCTGTCCTTAAGGACAGGTGAGCCGCTAATGATGGTGAGCCGCAGGAAATGGACCAGAGAAACAGGTCCCTGCTACACACACAGAGGATCACACGCGCACATGCACACACACGCACAAGACACCACTCTCAGCTTAGGGCTTCCTGGTGCCAGGGGAGCTAATCCTCCTCTAACTGTCTTGAAACAGCCTCCTCTTTCAAGGCACAACTCAAACTTCTGCGGCCACTGTTCGAATTCAGACCGTTCCTTCTGTTTTCCGTGGTGCTGAGCACCTTGCCTGGCATCACAGGTGCTCAGTGAATAGATGCCTAGTGGGGCTGGACAATGAGAGAGACAGGAGACAAGTGAGAGTGTCAAGTGAGGACTGAGTAAGGTCAGCAGGAAAGCCCGGGGCACAGGAGCTGGAGCAGGACTATTGGGCTGGCAGCAACCAGGGAGGCCACAGAAGAGAAGTGGAAGGTGTGTCTCGCCCGCTGCTCTCTTTCTGTCTCGCTCACCGTGAGAGCTGTTTATTAAACAAGTGACACTCTCCCATCGATGACTTATTCCCTCTAGGTTTTCCTCAAAGGGGACGATTCTTCATCATCTAAAAATGGGTCAAACCATGGATGGTTGCCATACCTTCATGGGTGGTTCCACGATTTTAACAGCCAAATGATGGCAGGTTGTTAAGACAACAGAACCGGGGCGATGTTTTTATTATTCCTGGATACTCTCAAAGGGTCAAAGTGCGACTACCTCACAGTTTGGGAGGGAAATTGGGTGCCCAAGAACCCTAGGATCGGCCATCCTCACATTGTCCAGCCCATGGATCATATAGTGGAAACCGTCCTCCCTGACACAAGATCACCTTTGATAAAACTAGGCTGTCTGCTGCAGGGAGAATCCCTCAGCTGAGAGGCAGGCAGGACTGGGGAGGGAGAACAAAGACTTGGCAAGTGGATGTGGCGCTTGTGAGTCAGGACCCGGGATTTTCAATGACCCAAGAGCTCCCTTTGATGCAGGCCTCCCCCTCCCCAGTCGGCCACGGCCTCCTCACCTTTGGGCCTGACAGTGCACCCACCACTTGGAGTTTATCCACTAGCCAGAGGGCTCCCGGGGCCCTGCCTCCTAGCTGAGCTGTGATCCCGCTCTCTCAGGGCTCCGAGTCCCTGGAGGACAGGCCCAGGGGACCCTAGGGGCCTGCCCCTCTTCCGCCCTCCGTGGGTCAGTCCTCATTGCACTGAGGAGGCCAGGCCACCTCCGGCTGGCCAGCCCCCCTGAAGCACAGCCTCCTGGGCTCTGCTCTCTCGGCCCCCCACCCCCACCCCCGCCCCAGCTGCCCCCACCTCTCTTCAGGGCACAAGGGACCTTTTCTCTTTGCGAGCCTTAAAGAAGCCGGTTGCCACGGTGACAGGAGCGGGAGCAGCAGGGAGCTGGCCATGGGGGAGGGGCTCTGCCCCCAAACAGCTGTCAGCGGGAGCAGCCCCGGCTCGGGAGGAAACCGTCCTCGCTTCCACGCGCCCCCACGCCCCTCTCTCAGGTCCCCACTGGCTCCTTTCCCGGGGGCAGCCAAGCAGCCAGTTCAAAACG